TTACTCTAATCACAACCACTCCACACTTCCTTAATTTCAACACAATGAGGGTATATTTGGAAAAAAATGCAAAAATTTGTCTTGATTTTTGAGCGCGCCTTATATTTCAAAAAAAATGAGAAATCTTTCTACGCCTTATATTTCAAAATGGAGGGAGTACTTTGAAAATGAAAAATAAAAATAAAAATAAAAGCATTTTCAGTACATGAATTTTTCTCAATTTAGAGTCTAGTACCCAATATTGGGACACTTACAAAGTAAATACCCTTTTCTCTGTAAATTAATCAATTTCAACATATGATTTGAAGAGAGGAAAACCAATCAAATTTATTGAGCAAAAATTATAAATACAACAAATATAAAGTCTAATTAATCAATAATGCGTGTATATAGTTATATAGTATAATTAGATAAAGCAATATAATTGAAAAAAATAATTACTTGCAATGGGGTAACTAGCTATAGTTTTAGTTTTATTAGTGATCATGCGTTTTCTGAATTTCGCAAGGAAAGATAAAATAAATTCTTAAAACATTATAAATAAAAGTGAATGCAAAATTGCAAAATATGCTTAATAATTTTGGGAGATTGACAAATTGGTCCAATAAATTGTATAGATGTAAGAAATGTCTATTATCTAACTAAATAGTGAATTAGTAGACTTTTTTTTTACAATTAGCTAGAGAATAATTCAAAAAAATAAATAAATTAATATACTAGTCTTTTTTTATCTATTAGGAAATCTTATAAATAAATTTGTATTTTGTCTATATAAGCATATTTTTTTAATTTTGAAGCGAAAATAGTTATCCTATGATCAAGAGGATATATATCACTTCANTGTATAGTTAACAGCTAAATAAAATAAATAAACACTTATCATTGTTTTTTTTTTTTAATTATTTTTTTGGTGGTGACCATTTTGAATCTTGGCTGTCCATTGGATCAAAATCATGTGTCCCGGGATGCACGCTGACCACTCTCTTATTTTTTTTTTTTTTAATTTAAATAATTTACCACAGAATTTCACTTGTTTATTTACTTAAATTTTTGCTATTAGTAACACACAAACACACCAAATCGCAATGAATAATTTGTTTTTTATATTTCTCTATTATTATGTTGCTTATATGTAGAGATTAACCGTTACGGGCCAATCCGTCATATTTTTGTAACAATAATACCTACATATATTAAGAAAATGTCATATATCTGTTTATTTATATTTTATAATATATTATGCCGATTGGAAAAAATATATTTTATAATATAAAATTTCAATTTAAATAATGCATATCTGTTAAAAAAATGGACAAAATTGCATTTTATGCCCTGTAACTAGGAGTGTGTAGCAAATGTGGACAACTTCTTTTTGGTTTAGCAAAGGTGCCCTGAAACTTGTTAAAATTGCACAATTTGGACACAAATTTCGAATTTTAACAAGTTACTGTCCTGTTTTGCTACACGAAAAACCGGTCAAATCCGGTAACTTGTAGGTAAATTGGACACGAATTCCGAGTTTTAACAAATTTCAGGACACTTTTGCCAAACCAAAAAGAAACTGTCCATATATGCTACACACGCATAATTAGAGGTCATAAAATGCAGTTTTGCCTAAAAAAATGTTTAACATTAGTTTAACATGAGAATATTTGTACATATCCAATGTTGTGGTTAAAAATGCTTGTTGGGCAATGTACAATAATAGAGTACCGTAAAAGAAGGAAAGTTCATTTCATATGCATGATCAAGATTCATTGAAGAAAATTTTGAGCAATCAAATCCAACTTTTCTAGACTTAAATGAGAAAGATTTTTTTAACAATCAAAACCATCTTTCTATTTTTGGAAATTCATTCTGCTCTACCAATGATCCTTTCGAAGCACGTGTTTTCGGCATGTACTAACCTGTCATTTAATTATGCAAAATGAAAAAACGAAAAAAAAAAAAGAATAAAAGAAAAGGTTAAAAAGGAATACATACGTATTCACCAATATTTAATCAATTACAGACTCGTCAATCGTCATGTTAGAATCCCAAGCTAGCTAGAATCAGATTTTTAATATTATTTTGTCGTGTCTCAAATCAGATTAATTGAATTAATTTTTAATTTGAATTCAATGTTGTAACAAAATGTATGATCATCAGAATAATTAAATTTTTATTTCAGTAGTTTCCATTTATTTCAGTAGTTTCCATTTGGTGCTCATCAATATATAATCCAAATATATGATCATGTAAACATCCTGAGCATAACTTAAATAGTTAAAATCTCAATTTACCATTGTTTTTAGTATTTAATTAATTATATGTAATCAATTAAGTCACACACACACATACATATATCCTAAACAACAATCCATACTTGATTAAAAGAAGAGAAAGCATGCATTTTGGTCAAGATTTCACAATCTAGATAATGGAAGATTTTCAATCTCACTCTCATTACTGTTACATGAGGATTTAAAAACAAAATTGTCCTAAAATGTCAAATGTTATAATAAGTTACATTGCATAAAAAGTTGAAAATTCGGTTAATTGCTGCCAATTTAGTCCAAAAAGTAAATGATTAGCCGAAAACATTTACAAAAACTGCTAAAAATGATGGATTCTGAATGTATCCTTTGACTATTTTTTCCAATTTTTGGGGGACATAAATAGTTCGCAATTTATTATACAATCATTTTTATTTTAATAAAATGTGTGATTTACTGGGATGATCATGTGATTTTATTAGACTAATTTCACAATTTGGTATACATGTTTTTGACTTTTTTTCATCGTTTGATCAAATAGTAAAATGTAATTGTCACATACATTTGATGACACACCTCATTCTAAACCCAAATTATAAAATATTGGAATAAAATTGACTTATTTTCGCATTGACTTTATTCATACCATATTTTCCAACAAAAATAAATAAATACCATACAAAAATAATTACAAAACTATGAATAGTTTATTCCAAAAATGGTAGCCTCGAAACCCAATTAGACCCGACAACTTAAAGAAAATTCTATTTAAAGCGAGGGCTTCTCCACATTTGCACACTTTCGTGCATTAGTCTCTATTTTAGTTCAAAGTTGTTATTTCCTTAATAAAGTGCACTATAAAAACCTAGCTAGCTATTAATTACTCTATTTTTAGTTCAAATTTTCATCTCCTAGCTAGCTATCAAGAGTTAATATATATATATACTTTTCGAAATTAAATAAATGTCTAGCCGAAGATCGAGATCACGAAACTCAGGTTTTTCAAGAATCTCCGAAGATCAAATCAACGAGCTCGTTTTCAAGTTGCACCAACTTCTTCCCTCGGGCAAGGTAATTAACATTTAGTCGAATTGTATGTTGAACAATAAGGGTCAATATTGCATTACTAATTTAGTCAATTTTACTATATTTTATAGCATCTAATTAATTAGATCAATTTCATTTAATTTTATTCATTTGTATTTAATTTTGTGCAGAGATCAACAAGTAATGTGTTGCAAGAGACTTGCAACTACATAAGAAGCTTGCAAAGAGAAGTTGATTGCCTAAGCGAAAAGCTGTCTGAATTATTGGCAAATACAGATACATCTCAAGCTGCGATTATTAGAAGTCTACTCACACAGTAGAATATATATTATTAAGAGCTTCCCTTCTTTTTATTTCCTTTTTTTTTTTGTAGGAAAAAATAATTAAATTGTTTTTTATGATGTCCCCTTTTGACTTAATTGCATTTCATTTTTCTTTTGTGCCAGCAATTTTGTTTTTCTAAGGAGGAGGATTTAAATTTAATGTAATAAGATGGGTTTTTGAGATGTTCCATATATTATCTTTGCCAGATCTTGTTTTTTGATTTCATAATTTCTTTTCTTTTTTTTTCTTGTGATTTATAGTGAATTAGCTAATTAATTAATTAATAAGTGCATTGCCAGTGCCTGACGAGTGACGAGATCGCAAGACCACATTTCTTCACTAATTAATCTGAACTGAGTTAGTGCACACATTAATCCCACTACAAGAAAATGATAAAATTTCTATGAAAAATTCCAACAACAAATATATTCAATGAAATTCCAACGGTAATTCCAATGGATATTCCAATGATATTATTTCCATTGGAATTTTCCAATAGATTCAAACGAAATTCCAATGAAAATATTCAGTTGGAATAAGTTTTCCATTGAAATTTTCATTGGATTTTGACGATTCCAACAGATTTTCCAACAGGGGTGGAAATAAAAATTTCAATGGAAATTGCATATTTCAACAGAAATTCCTACAGTAAAAAACCATTGGAAAAATAGCCGTTGGAATCATCAAATTCCATCTAAAATTCTAATGTAAAACTCATCCCAATGGAATATTTTCGTTGGAATGATTCCAACGGAAGTTATACCATTGGAATATCCATTGAAATTTCCATTCGAATATATTCCCGTAGGATTTTCCGTTGGAGTATAACAATTTTTTTGTAGTGTAATTAGACTAATTATCGAAACCTAATAAACTATTGATAATTGAAATGAGATTTTTCAAAATAATAATAATAATAATAATAATAATAATAATAATAATAATAATAATAATAATTAAACAGATTTAAAATAATTTTTATTCTATTTATACTCTCAAAATATGAAATATTAGAAATATAAGAAAAAAAACAGGTCAATCCAATTAACCAACACAAAGCATTTGAATGTTAGTTTGACTTCTTGAATTTTTTAATATAAATCATATTTATATGGTGAGATATTATATTTTTATTTATATTAGTTTTTTAAAGTATTTTATTTGTGTATAAAAGTATGAATATTATATTTTTTTAAAAAAAAATTGTTAACTTTCTAAGGGATATAAATACATAACATCAACCCTTCTATTTTTATATAGTAAACGCAACTGATAGAACTGTTTAATGAAACGAGCCGTGGGCCATCTCATTATAACTCGAGCACATTTAAAACATATTGAGTTAACGAACCGAGCCTAGGCTCGAAAAGTGTAGTCTTTACATAATTTTTCAAAATTTTGCCTTAAATCAGTTCTGTTAAGACTTGAGTTTGGCTCGTTAATATTAATAAACAAACCACGAGTGCCCGTGTACTGGCTCATTTGGTTAACTAGTTGAACCGATATAAGTTTGAATCCGAGCTCAAGTTAACTCGTTTAGACCTCATCAACATGAGTTTTGAGCGGCCAAAATCAACCAAAACAACTGGTGAGAATGCATACGAGAGAACAATTGGAATTAGTACTGTAGTACATCAAACTTATAATAATTAATCAGCTTAATTTGCATTTCAGGTAACAATTTTTTGTGTTTTTTATTTTTTTCTTAAGTGATTAACAAGGCTTTCTGGGGACACAATGCAAAGGGCCTGCAAATTTGGTGAGCAAAGGCACAAAGCTCCCGGGCTTAGGTGGGATCATATCCCCGCCTTGTGCGAATTTGTGGCTTCGGTCGCCAGATTCTACGAAAAACGCCCCATTTTTCATCACATCTCCTTCTGATTTCCAAGCCCAATTCTTCCATACGCTCTCGGGCGCATAATCTCTCTTCGTGACCTACATCATAATATACAAACATGTACAAAAATGCATGAGTCTAGCAAAAAACACGAACAAAATAAGTTAATATACGTACATTCTAATTTTTTCTTTACCTCTTTGGCAAATGCATTGTCAGGGGCCGTGAAACTGTTGCCCTGGCTAAGTATGTTCGGGTGTTGGCTACCACCGATGGCGTACATTAGCCACCGAGTGTAGTCGTTATTGACCACGTGCACGAAGCCCCATCTCACCCGAGGCATCCTTTGCACGAGCCCCTTCCCGAAATGGTTGAACGCTAGAGTTATTTGCATGATTTGGTCATCCGAGTAGCTATCGCTAGCTCCGAACAACATAACCTGCATTTTTTACTTCGTCTCGTTAATATTTTGAATTATTATTAACTAGTTGTTGGAATATCACTAGGGATTGTCCCGCATTGACTCTATAGGGAAAATGAGCCTAGTTTATAAGCCTAGTAGGTTAATTCTCTCATCACCAATTGGTTTTGAGATGGAACCTCATTACGTACACCTAAACTTACCCTCTTATGGTGCACTTCACTTGTGTGGGACCGCACCCTCTTCCTCCGATTCTATAAATCTAATACTAGTCAATTACCTCGTTGTGTTGCGCGAAATGGCAATTGGAGACGGTGATGGCCGTGGAGGCCTCGATTGCGTCGATCAAGCCATCGGTGCATTTCGATAGCGACACGTGGTCGATCCATATGTTGGTTGCCCCGAACATGGATATGCCATCCCCATCGCTCCTCGATCGGTACCCGTAGTGGTCGATCGAGTCACGGATTAGTCCTCCATTACCCGACTTGATGTCGTGGATCCGTATGTTGTGTATGATGACGTTGTGGATGAATTGGAGCGTGAGGCCGGCCCCGCCCGTGATGTGCACCTGGGCCCCACGCCCGTCGATCGTCTTGTTGCTCGTCATGATGAGCTCCTGCGAGAGACGAATGACCATGTTGCGGGCGAACACGATCCACAGGGGCTCTGGTTGGATGACCGCGTGCCTCAGGGTGCCCTTTTTAGGGTTGAGGAGGTCGTTGTCGGAAGGGTCGGTCACGACGTACGTGCGGCCCGCCTTGCCTCCGGTGGTGTGGCGGCCGAACCCCAGGGCGCAGTCCGCCAGCCTCCGACGGTTCTTGGCCCAATTCCTCTGGCACCGCCAGCATTGGTCGATGGGGTTCGTGGCTTGGCATCCGACGGTGGAAATCCCGGATAGGGCTCTCCTTGAGGTGTAGTTGCCTTCCAATATGGACCTTTTTATACATCATATACATTGTTAGTAGGACAGTAAATGATCGGAGTCGACTCGTTAAGGAAATGAGTCGAGTCGACTCGTTAAGTAAATGAGCCAAAAATCGACATCAAGCTCAAAGAGACGAGTTTGAACCCTAGTTTTAATGAGCTGAAGTATAGAAAATTACATAAAAATTCTTTTTAATTTCGAGCCTTATCGAGCTGAACCTAGCCCAACTCGTTAACGAAATGAGCTTTAAGCGAGATCGAGCTCAGCTTGTTTGAGCCAAGCTCATGAGCGGCTCGTTTCGTTTTACAACTCTAACAATTAGTTGTTAGAGAGAGCAACAACTAAGAGAATAGTAGATTAAAATAGGTATGATACAACCAGGACCGTGTTTTTGTAGTGTTCGTTAAGAAAATTTCATGTCGGGATATAGAGATGTATCAAATCATCCAACCTTTGAACATGCTTGTTGAGATTATCCGAGATGAGCAACGGATCAGGTTGATAGGCTCGACGGGCGGCTAGTTTAGCTTCCTCCGCGCGTTGCTTCCATACCTCGTCGTCCGAAGCGGCGCAAGCGGCCGTTGTGGTGAAAACCACAAAGGAAATTAAGATACACCTTATGGTGTCCATTATTGTGATTAATGATTTTTTTATTATTATTTGCTTTTTTGAACAACTTTCTTCTCCATGTTTATATAGGGAGTATTTCCTTGGATGTAGGGATGAGCTTATGTTTCTCAAAAACTAGTGAATTAGATGTACACATGATAGGTTCATAAAATGTGACTTGTTGAGAAATAAGTTAAATACCCCCACAAAATATGAAGATAAATGGGAATATATGGGAAGTGAGGAGCAAAATGTGGGAAATATATAAGGAGATCAATGTATAAATATACTTTTTGGTTAATTGTTTTAGGAATTATTAGATGATGAGTTGGGGAAGGTATGTGATATTAATAATTTTGTTTGACAGTTAATTCAGGCGTGATTGATTGCCACTTCTTTTTTAGCCCCACTTGATTTCTATATTAGTTCATCAAGTTAACCACGTTAAACAAGCGCTTCTTGGTGGCAATCTAAGTTCTATTTGTTGCTTATTTTAGTTATTTTCTTTTACAAATTTTAGATTTTACTTTCGAATAAATCTTATATGTTGAATTGATGTTTTCTAATTTTATATTCAGTTTCTGTTGATTCGAAATTTCGAATATCAATTTTTTTTACTCATAGTAGTATATATGGATTATTATATATGTCATTAGGACCTCTAAAATTCTAAACTACTTTTCTAACTTAAACCATAAATAAATTAAATAAAGGAAACTTATTAACTTTTTTGTTTAGTGTTTATTTTTCATAAATATATTCAATTTTTTATTTATAAATTAAATAAATTTAAATACTTTAACTTTTATTTTTGTAATTTTCTAAATACATACTTCTTCAGCATGAATAAGTAAAGTCTATAATAATTTGGAACAAAATGGATTCATTATCGACATGTACTAACTGCAAGTCTGCAAGTAAAATTGTTAAACGAAACGAGCTATTTGTTAGCTGGATCTGACTCATTTTGGTGAGGTTCCAGCTCGTTTAGTTAAAGAATCGAGTTCATTATGACTCAATGATTTAAATTTTTTATATAATTTATATAGCTCGGTTAGTTATAATTCGAGTTCGACTTATCAATATTAATAAATGATATGAATTTGACTTCGTTATTCGACTCATTTAGTTAGTGCCCGACTCGATAAAGGATCGAGTCCAAACTCAAGTATCTGAAGTTTGAACTCGACTTGACTTGTTCACCCGACTAATTTTTTTTATCACAAAAATTCTCCATCTGATTCCTGATAGGATAAGCAGCGCCCTGATTGGTCGACAAAAAGATTTCCATTTACAGATGGAAAAATAAAATTCACACGAAAAATATAAACCAAATTAAAAGAAAAAAATACTTTGAAACTCTTGAAGCTCACAATTCCCAAATGGCAGGGGCGACGAGTGCCGCCGCCAGCAGCTACCGGAAAAACTCGCCAATCCGACACGGCTTCAGTCGCTTGTTCCCCGCCGGTGATGATGCCCCGAGGTTTTTGGCCATGGCGTCCAAAAAGAAGGTACTTTACTGCTTTGCCCAATTTGCCCTTTTCTTTCTCGAGAGTTTTTCATTTGAAGGGTGGATGAAAGAGCTTATTCTGATGGATATTTGTGTAAATAAAGCACCTTTTTTTTTAGCGAATTAGGGATTATGGTGAAATATACTACAGGTTCTACGCAAAATTGATACAGTACCACATTCAAATGCAGAAAAAATCCATCATTTTAAACTCCTTTGAAATGTATATCATTGAATATTATTGGCTGAGATTTAATCTTTTTTATGTTATAGTAATTTGAAATGGTTATCACTTAATATTATTGGAAAAAGATTGATCTTTTTTTGTGTACAAGTAATGTAGATGTAGGAGAGTGCACTGATGATGCAGATATGAAACTCCATAAAATTCAAAGAAAGTAAAAGACTAATTTTGTGAAAGTGATGTATAAAACATAGCAAAAATCGATTTGTTGAAGAATTATGAGATGCAGTGGTATGAACTATGAACATATTACTACCCCCCAAAAACAAAAAGGTGAACAAATACGATTCGGGGTGGAAAAAACAATGGTTCGGGGCAGGATTATTCTACGAGGGAAGTGAAGAACTCGAAGTCGACGTTTTCAAGAAGCTCGAAAAGCAAAAGGTCCTCAGCTCTGTCGAGAAATCCGGTCTCCTCTCGAAAGCAGAGGAGCTCGGTTTAACCCTCTCGTCCATAGAAAAACTTGGACTTTTGTCCAAGGCTGAGGAGCTCGGCCTCTTGAGCCTGCTCGAGAATGCTGCCGGATTCTCTCCCTCAGCCCTGGCATCGGTGGCTCTGCCGGTTCTGGTGGCGGCTGTGGCCGTGATCGTGGTGGTTCCCGACGACTCGGTGGTGCTTGTGGCGGCTCAGGGATTGGTTGCCGGATTGCTGGCGGCCGGAGGTCTTGTGCTGTTCGTGGGGTCCATCGTGCTCCAAGGGCTGCAAGAGGCAGACTAGACAAACTGGTNATTGATACTTTGTTTTGAGTGATTTTGTAATTTTCCGCTGGTATATGCAATAGTAGTGTTGTTAAATTAAACGAGTCTGGCTCAGTTCGACTCGAGCTCGAGGCCTTAACTAGTTGAGCACGAGCTCATTTAAAGCTCGTTTGGTTAATGAGCCGAGCTCAGCTCAGCTCAGCTTGTTAAGGTTCGAACAGAGATGTTTTATATAGCTTTCTATAGTAAGGCTCGTGAATGCTCGAACTTGGCTCGTGAATAGTAATAAATGAGTCGAGCTCGAGTTCGAGCTCGATTTTTGGGTGGTTAAAGGAGTTGTAGGTAAAAGCTTGGTGACTCTTGATGGCAATTGATGGCATGCTTCTTTTGTGAGTATGCAATTTGGGAAAAGGGTTTCTCCACTTTTCTTTCCTATATTTGGCTCGTTGAATTGAATTCCAATTGCACTATACTTAGTCATGGAGTTTTTTATCGTTGGATTATTATATGCACAATTACGGAGTTTTTGTCGTTGGTTCTCAGTATAGATACAGAATCACGTGTACTCATACAGATATGTGCGTAGTAATGATAATAAAAACAACCATGATAGTGATGGCAAAAGGCATTTTAACTTCAGATTTATAATTTACTCCATGAGCAAAATCGTAAGCCGCTAATTGTACCATTGAAGCAGTAAACGATTGGAGTTGAGCTCGAGTTCTTAATACTTGAGCTGGGATTCAAACTTTTATCGAGCCGAGTCAAACTAAACTTAACTTTTCGAGTCAAAACAGATTTTAACTCGTGTCGTTATCAAAGTTAACGAGTAAAAATCGTTCTTTAACAAACCAAGATAAGGTATATTTTAGAAAATTACGTAAGCGGTTTGTAATGAGCTAAGCTTGGCTTGTTAATTAAACAAGTTGTTAAACAATCTCGGCTCATTTGATACCCGAGCCAAACTGAACTCAAATCTTAATAAATAATAAGTTTGAACTGTGGAAACTGTGAGCGGAGTAATTATTTAGAGAAAAGTGTTTCCCCTATTATCAGAACCAATTCTTTTTATTCAGTGAAAGGCCCAGTAAAATATGCTGGTAAAGGCCCAGATAGAAGCATCTTTATAGGATGATGAAAGTCCATACAAGATTCAATATTTGAGAAAATAAAAAAAAAAAAAAATGGAGATGCGGGGTATCGATCCCCGTACCTCTCGCATGCTAAGCGAGCGCTCTACCATCTGAGCTACATCCCCAGTTGTTACTTGTTTTTATTACTCATCATTCTATCGGTGAGGGAAATAAATCAACACGCTTATGATTACGAAAAGAACTTCTATTAATATTACAATACGCATATATATGATCAAATTTTGTTTTTATGAAAAAGTGTATCTTGCGGAAAAGTATCAGAATGCTACTAATGATTTTGATAAAAAAGAATTCCGTGTGTGTTATAGATATTAATTTTTTTTAAAAAAAAATATTGCATATTTAAGTTTAATAATATATCATTCCACCACAAACTGTTTGATCTATATTACTGCATTCATCTACTCGTCAGTTGAGCATGGAGCATGGTGAATTATTGAACTCTCATAAATTGAACGTGGTAAATGATTTACTATTCAATTTAAATTACCTCCATTGTAATTTTTTTTTTGAAAAAAAAAAATATTCTAATGCTAACATTAACGAATTTCATAATTATAATAATAATAATAATAATAATAATAATAAGAATAATACTAATAATAATAATAATAACAATAATAATGCATGGGGTACAAGACATTCATATAATTTCACACAATTCTAAATTAATATTGTTTCACACTATCAACCCAACAGCTAGCCATAGACATGAGCTACGTACATCCTACGCGCGTCCGTAGACTCACGCGCCGCCCTCATCATCCTCCTCCTCCTCTCCCCGGCCTCCACCGCCGCCGGCCGCCACCCTGTACCTATACCTCCTCGCCCAAAACACGTATTGCAACAAGTTCAACCCACTCAGCCCACACATGAGCCAATAGAACCGCTCCAACCTATACCGGTTCAAATTACTCCCACGCAACCACGGCCCACCAGGCAAACCCCCCGTGGCCCAATTCACCAGGCCCACAAGCACCGAGCTCAAATAATAGCCCACCGCCAACGAGGCCCACGATAGCGAAGTCGCCAGGGACCTCATCCCGGTCGGCGCCTCGGAGAAGAAAAACTCCATTTGGCCCGCGAGGCTGAACAAATCGGCCGAGCCCAAGAAGAGGTACTGCAGCGCCATCCAAAGGAACGTAATCGGGATGGGCTCCGTGGACCCGGAAAGTCCCAAACGGGCCGCGGCCCGTTTACGCTTGGTCTCGACTAAGGCCGCGGTGGCCATGGCGAGGACGGAGAAAACGAGGCCCGTTCCTATGCGTTGGAGGTGGGTTATCCCTGGCTCGGAGCCCGTGGCCCGTCGGGAAAAAAACGGGAGGATCACGTGGTTGTAAACGGGCGCGAGTATGAGAACGAAAAGGACGGGAAAAACTGGGAGGGAGGCCGGTGGGACCCGAAAGGTGGTGCCGGCGAGGCGCGTGTCCATGGTGGCGGCTTGTTGGACAGAGAAGGTCGACAACTGGGCGAGGCAGCAGTTGAGCATGACGGTCGAGGCGAAGATAGGGAGGGTTCGGAGGACGGATTTCGAGTCCTCGACTTGGGATTCTGTGCAGTGGAGCCAGTCGTGTGGGTCCGGGTCGGATATCGCTCGGTCGAGGAACGTTGTGTTCGGTATGGTGCGGGTGGGTCGACTACTTGGAGTTGCGCGGAGGCTGCGTGTTGCGGAGATCAAGACCTATACGATGCAAATGCAGAGATGAAATCATCTTTTAAATGAAATGAAATGGTTATTTACTGATATTACCACTTAATATTGCGAAATGTTGAGTCGATCGATTGACTCACCTTAAATATAGTCGTAATAGGGCTCCCGCTCGGGACTTTGATGCGGTACGTAGCCGACCCAAGGAGGAAAATCGGTATCGAGATGAAAATCGCGACAGCTGCGGCCCCGAAACCCCATTGCCACCCGATGTTGTCCTCGACCCACACAACGAACGTGACGGCGATGAGCGCTCCAAACGAGAGGCAAAAAACATAGTAGTTGAAGAAGGCCGACCGCTGCTTTCGACCGCGCTGCGTGCGCTCATCGAACTGGTGGGCCCCGTGCGGGGGAAGGGAGCCCTTTATTCCTCCTACACCGAGCGCCGCCAGGTAGAGGCCGGCGTAGAGCACTGCCTTCTTCCTGTGGTCGACCCCACGGCACGGGGCATTTCGGTCGTGGGACGAGCAAACTGGCGGTTGTAGGGACGACAAGTGAGCTTGCAAGGCAAGGATCAAGAGACCCTATGTTACAGTAAAACTGACTGAACAGTTAGACAGTGATATGTACGTTCAAATTGAATTGTTCTTACTGTCTATTGACTTAATATTTAAGTTCACAAAAATTTTATGGAGCCATCGGATGGTTTTCTTATGGAGTCATCCACCACTTAATATATTGACACCTGTCCAACTTCTATTTATTATAGGACACGTGTCAATACAATATTGGTGAATAAGTGTGAATATGTGTAAGTTCAAATTGAAATGTCCTTACTGTCTATTGACTTAACTGACTTAACAGTTAGACAATGATATTTACGTTCAAATTAAAATGTCATTGCATAGCGTAACTACATTTTTGTTACAAATGTAGGACAGATTCAGCCTCCAAACAGTTACTACTTACACAATAAATATTTGTGGTCCAAAGGGGCTATTGTGACATCTTTTTGCATTAAATTTGTCAAATATTAAGGCTTCCAACTATTTGTGGCCATGATGCAAAAACTGCTTGTTGCAATTGGTGTGTGAATTGGGACAATGTCACAATAAAATTAAATGCACCACTCTTCCAGAAGGATCCCTAATGATACTGAATTGACATGTTATGTGCACACTCTTTCTAAATTTAGTAGATGTGTGTGCAACTTGTGGTATTCACTAATCATACACTTGCTTAAAATGGAGTTATTATGTCTTAACTAGCTTGTGGCCCAATGTACTTTTTTCCTAATTACAATTCAAATTTTGTATGAAACAGTCTTATGGTTCGACAGGTCTACCAGTCATATACTTTTCTGTAATTGCAAAAGAAACCAATTAGAACTACAAAATAGTAAAATACCACTTGAAAATTACTCATGCAAGAGAAAAATTATTCTTCTTAACTATTACCACAAGTTGTGTTATTGCACTTATGACATAGATGCAATAGGTAGTTAGGTAGGAATCGGACAAGAAGCCGCCAAGGAGTGCGAGTAGAAAAGCCGTGCCCATGAAGCATGTAACCGTGTTAGCCGAAGCCGATGGCGAAAAGTTCATATACTTTGTGAGATAAAGAACCAAATTGCTTGCATTGGCTAGGTATGCTAGGTTTTCAAGGACCTCCACAACTATATATATATACATATAATTTGGATGAAGCAAAAATGAAATAAAATAAGTTAAAAATTGTCTTTATATGAAAAAAAAAAATTAATATAAAAATTGGATTATTTGTGAAGATGAAAGGATATATACTGAGGACAAATGAGGCTGCAACCACCCCGCCATGACGGCCTCTGATCGCCGGTCGGTTTCTCCAGTCAGCGTAACCTTCCCAATAGTTGGAATTTTTTTCGTTGTCCTACATTATCGGAGAACAAAAATATGTAATTAAATTAGTTGAATAATGAAAAATAAAATGATATACTATTATTTTAATTTGAAAAAAAAAAGAGACAAAAATAGTAGGGTTTGGAGGATTGAAATAAACCATATCTCTTGTTATAATGTGTGACATTTATGTTGTGTGTGAAGGTTATGTGAAGGTGTAGGGGTTTAAATAGTGGAAATTGTTGGGTTATGGTGAATTGGAAAAGGGAAAATCTGGATCATTCTATCAATATTGATAATGACATTACATTTTTATCTAGGCATTTTTTTTACCACATTAATTTGTGTAGTTTATTTAATTACACAATTGTGTGAGACTACTAAAATGCATGGTATTGTATTGTTTTTAGTAGAATTATATTGCATAAACTAACCGCATTGTAGTAAATTATATGAGAGGTATTCATATGAATTGTTTTGGATTTGTTTATGAGAGCCAAATTTTAAAATTTGAAAGTAAAGGCCAATGATAGCGGTTTAAATATATTGAGAAAATCCCTTTTTATTTTCACATTTACGAAAATACTAATTTTTAGTATTTATTAATGATTNATCATTAACCAATAACCATCAGACTGATTTTGAGCCTAAAATCTTGCTTCCATTGAGCCCATATTCTTTATATTGGGCGGCAAATTGGGCCTTTCCTTCATTATAAGTAACTTCAAATATGGCCCACGTTTGTCAACCTAATAACCGGAATGCAGGAAATCTCGTTAATGACATCCACAAAAATATACTCCCTAAGTCCATAGATTACTGCTAAATAACACAATTAAAGGCCGCAAAGACAGTAAATCCATTTGAAAACAAGTAAAAATTGAAATTAAGATAAAGTAAATTAAGCACATAAAAGTATGAATTTGTTAATCCTCTCACACTTTTTGACTTATTATAAATTTATTAAACAGGCATTGCACGCATTTAGATTTATGCAGTAACAAACAATTGATTTTGTACCAAGTTTACGATTCTATTTTTCGTAAATGAAAGACTAAGTTTTGTCCTCTTGTTTCAAACCGCACACATACCAATTGAGGGCTTCAAACAGAAAGTTCTTACACATCTATTAATACCTCAATGAATGTCATAACATCATACAATTGAATTTAAGAGCTCTTTGCATTGTTTTGAAAAAGTTCATATTTATAGTGATATGGTCCGAGATAGGTTACTCCGATTTCTCGAATGGTTCCTTCTGGTTTGAACGCGAATCCGTCTAACTCGATTTGATCAAAGTCCAAAGGCTTGACAATACCTGAAAAGAGCGTCGGAATTACTCCGGCGCAAGATCTTCCGACGCCCAAGTTAGTATCTCGGAGTTGAAACATCACTTGCAATAAATGTAAAAGTAATTGTAATAAACGAGTCTTATCTTGCAACCATTGATTAACCCTTTATATAGTGTTTAACTGTACGGTTTCCCTCTTGGGGTCCTAAGTTCTCGAACGTCCGTAGACCGGGCATAATTTAATCGATGCCCGGCCTTACGGATTGACCCTCGACGGCCATAAATATCGACCTTGGGTCGATGTTCGACCCTTAGGTCACCGCTCGCACCTTCATCCCTTGGGTCGTTGTTCGACCCTTAGGTCAATACTTGGCACTTCGGCCTGGTCGACCCTATGGTCCAGTTGACCTCGGTTTTATGTGTCTTTGATGGGTCGGGTCGGGTTGGTACTATAATCCCTATCATATATGGTGTTCTTTATGTTCGTTTCATTCATGAGAATTCTGAAATAATAATAATATTTGTATTACCGTAATATATAAATCGAAAATTGTTGTATCTTGGAGGTGTTGTCGTATATCATTTGCAATTTTGGGAGCTAATTTCAGCTTAAAGAGAGCGTATATATAGATGCTTCGACTTTATTTTTTTTCCCATCTGATTTTTGTTAAATTCTATTGGTCAATTTTTTAATATTCACACAGCACAAATTAATAATATATCCTAAAAACATTTACAAGCACTCCTTTAAATTTACAATTATCTCACAAGTAAATCCTATTTGCACATTTGTTTCTATACCTACTCTACTTCACAATTTTTATTAATTTGGTAATCACTATTCTAAAAATGCCGTATTTAAGGAAATATATCCGATTATTTGGAGATGAAAATCCTAGTTCCACGAGTTAAACGTCTTCCAATTATGCTTATAAATATTATTTGGGCTTTAAAATAGTGTGGTTTTCGGTGACATATGAAATGAAATTTAGTCATTAATTCCATCTGGACCAGAAGTACATAAATATAATATAACATTAATTATCGCTTCGTAATTTTGTTAGTGAAAACCGACCATCAACAATATTCATGTGGCATCCTTGTCTTTATCATGCACCTTTCAAAAGTACTCATATTATATATGTTCTAGATTCATCTCAAAGCTTGTGTCTCATTTCCATTGGTAGGCATAAAAAGAAAAGAAATGAAAAGAAAACGATGGTGATCAACATTTCATTTTTTAATTACATACCCTAACTTTTTTTAAAAAAAAATTGTTCTGAGTGATTGAAGATTATTGGACCTCCATCTTATTATTATAATTTTTGAATTCGTTGCAATTTTAGTGAAATAATATTACTGTACACGAATATCGCAAGGTATTAATATTAACAGAAAAAAAATGCAAAAGCTCAAAACATATATGGGAGTAAATTTTCATATAAAAATAAAATATTCCATATATCGAAGTAGAATTATAATACTAAAACATACATATTATTTATACCTTCACGTAAACATGAGCGAATCTACATGTTGTGATAGGGGGGCAATTGCCCCCGCCTACCCCCTCAAATTTTATTTTTTTTACTATTAATATTAAAAATTTTAATTTGCTCTCCTTTAAATTTATTTTTGCACCCTCAAATTTTGTTAAACGTCACTTACCAACCAACTTGTCCACAATTGTCAATTAATAATTTAACAATTTTTTTTATTTTACTATTAATTTTATATATTAATTATTATCATTCTACAATTTTAACTAGCCCATATAAAAGACATCAACTCTCTTTTATTGTCCAGGTTAGGGCTGGCTGGTATTTTTTGACCGAAAACTAAAAATCAAACCGAACGGATGAGAAAATAAAACGAACCGAACCGACTTATGTGTAACAGTAACCAAAAGTCGGTTACCGAAATGTTATCGGTTTGGTATCAGTTTTGAACCTATCATGTCATGTCTTTTGCCCCCTCTCAACTAATTTTTTGGTTTCGCCCCTGCACGTAAAGCATTAACTTTGCATTTTCCCTTAGTCAAAGGCTATCATGTTCAACAAAATTAGTTGTTCGTAAACTTAATTTGATTCGGTAGGCTATCATGTTCAACAAAATTAGTTGTTCGTAAACTTAATTTGATTCGGTTCGACTAGTTTGATGATCTCATTTAAAATTCTTTTAATGTACTCAGTTTAAAACTCGTTACTTAAAGAGGTCAGCTCATCAATACTAAAAAAATATGATTTTTTTATGTAATTTCCTATAACTCAATTTGTTAATGCCCGAGTTCTGCTCGTTTAGGCTTGAGCCCAACTCTTTAATATTAATTGACGAGTCAAGCTCGAACTCCTGATACTTGAGCTCTGAATTCAATGCCATATCGAGCCGAAACTAGTTTCTGGTCGATATATGCTTAAATTAGAGCTCGAGCACAACTCATTTACACATACGTGTGGAATTTATTGGCAACTCATATACAATCAAACTCTTTAGTATTGATTGATGGGGATATATGTAGTCCGGTGAATTGATTTTGGTACAAAGGGATAGTTACCAAAGTTTTGTGGTGAAAATGAATTGAAGTGAGAATGTCATAGTACATAACGATGTTTTATTTCACATGAAATTTAGCTACACGTCATATCAACTATGCTATGGTCACAATCATTTATTTATTACATTTGAGCCCATGGTGAAAGGTCCTTAGCTTATAACATTAGAATTGGATTGGCGTGAGATTATATGAAATGTATGAGGAGTGTTTAACATTTAGTCCGGGGTAATTATTCATATTTCTCTTACTTATCTTAACTAGCATTTTTATTTGCATAAGCTTGAAATGGGGATAAAGTACTTTTTTATGCGAGTAAATGAACATAAATGCCACTTGTTTTAATACAAATTTAGCTGTTAAAAGTGTTTGGACCTCTTTTAAAAATCACTTCTTTTTTTCCTTTAAAAATTGTGTTTGGAACTCTCTCACTTTAAAAGAAAATAAGCTCCATTTTATTAAATGAATTTGATTACCTCAAATGCTAATGTATAAGTGTTTCAACAAATAAGGTCACACGACTTTTGATTTTTATTCATGTTTTAATGTTTAAACCCTCTTTTTTCTTGAAAACTATAACTTCTGCAACATTTTATTATTTCATATTTTCAACTTCTCGTTAATTCTGGATTTTAAAAATAAGGTTTGATTTATGCTGAAAAAAATGATGATGTTTTTTATATATGGTCCCAAATCCCAGGTCTCTTAACTTCCTATTGCTTCATACAAGGGGCATATTTCACAGTCATTTTCTNGTTACTGTTCAATCCACTCTATGTAGACATGGCCAAAACCCAGCCCGCCGGGTCGTCGGGCTCGAAAACACTGAACCTGAACCAGCACAGACCTATACTCGTGCCGGGTCCATGTCTGGGCCGGGTCGTGTCCGGGCCGTGCCGAGTCCGGGCTTTTATTAAAAAAAAGTATAAAAAATAAAAAAAAAATTGAAAAGAAGGGTCATCGACCCGGCCCGGACCTGACCCTCCGGGGCCGAGTCATGAAATGGATGACCGTTACACGGCCCGTTTCAAATCCGAGCCGATCTCGGACCCGTGGTCAATGGGTTTGACCGGGCCAGGTCCGTGCCGGGTCTGCGGGCCGAACGACCCTTTGGCCATGTCTAACTCTCTGAATAAATCTTGGTGCACCTATTTGTTTTTTAATTTCCTTTTGCACTAGCTCTACTCAACATCGAATACATACATAAGCAGTAAAATATAAAAGAGAGAAATTTCTCGCTGATGCTTAATTTATATAAGTTCGGCTGGAACCCAGTTCGATTAATTATCTCTAACAAGTATTAATTATGATTTTTTTAGTAATAGTATAAATAAAAAAAAAATTATTATTGATCCAACACAACTTTAATGAATATTTAAAAAATAATAATATCCAATTTTAGTATATTAATTTTTTAAAATTTCTAACAGAATCTACTCTGAATTTCAAGATTTCGTCTGTGTCCATAGATTTTTTGTCTCTTATTATAAACATACAATACATGGAATGCATCAGATTATATGCGACATAAATTCAAAAGCAAAACTAAGGCAATTCACAATTTGTTCTTTATCTCTCACATTTCAATGTCTTCAAGGTCTGGTAAGGGAAAACGAAGAATAGCTGCAACTCCAGTCAACTGTGCAAGTTCTGCACACATTAAAAATTACTCCAATTAGCACAATTTCATCTACGCAATTTTCTAAAAACAAGTGAACAATGTAACACAATACCACTCAAGCATATTTCCAACATATCAATCATTTCAATCATTAATTTTTTTTTTTTACATTTTATCACCTTTAAATTACTATAATTCATTCTTATCCAATCACACGTCCGTCGAATTCATCGTTTCCCCCAACAAATTTAGTTGATTCCGAAAAATACTAAGAAAAGTTAGGATTTACAGAAACTAATCTGTGTGTTCTTGTAAATATAAAAAAAGATGAAACAGTTGAACAGAAAAACTTACGTTCTCCTGAAACATGCATAGACGAGAAGATGTGAACAGTACCACCAGAAGCTTTGACTGAATCAACCAAATCGACATACTTTTGCCTCGTTGGTATATCAGAGCTCCTGAAAGATTTTATCCATGAAAAAAAAATGTTATTAGATAGTAAGGTTTTAGATTAAACCTTTCAGGTATAGTTTCTTTTTTTAGAAAAAAGGCATTTGCCAAGCTTTGGCTAAAAACCAGAACTCGTTCAGTTGCACACTTTGAGAGCTGTAATTGTACGGTTTTACCAAATTGAGACTATAAACCTGAAAAGCTCATCAGTTATGAGAAGTGTCTGAACCGCCATTCGCTCATGCGCAACCTCAACATGCCTTGGCCCATAGCACGCACGTTCAGGATCCTAAACCAAAACCAATGCGTAAAAAAAAACATGTAATAAACCAACGCTATTTTCTAAAGTGACAAAATCAGATGCAAAGTTCATTTGTAATGCAGAATATTCCACAGCTTTCAGCTTATTCTAATACTTCTGTTGGTGCAGAATACATTGTATGATCACAGATAATATCATGGAAACTTCATTAATTTGTTGCAAAACCTACACAACTTCGTGTAATAATATGACTTGCAGGAGCTCAATTGTTTCCCTGAGTTATGCAACACAAACATCGACATATATTTATGGTTGTGTTTGGTAAGCATATAAGCTAGCTTAAAGCTTATTTGATTAGCTTATAAGCTTTCTGTATTCAAATAAGCTTGAGATTTGGTAGGACGAGCTTTTTTAAAAAGCTCAAGCTTATCTCATAAGCGTCCTTGGGTAACTTTTCAAATAAGCCCATTGAAATTTTCATTTCAGCTAATTTACCAAACACTTTTATCACATAAGCTAGTTTTTTCAGCTATAAGCTCGAAATTCACTTAAAAGCTATAAGCTAGCTTATCTGCTAGGTTTACCAAACATAGCCTATATAGAACAAAAACAAATACCAATGACCTGAACACATAGAAGAATGTTTAGAACCTAACATTGGAAAGCATGGCAAAGAAATCCTTGAGTGCTCGAACCTGTATTGGAAACTAAGGTCAAATTTAGCATTCGGGAACAATAAAGTGAAAAAGTTTGACATCTTGTGAAGATGACGAAATAGATCAGAGATTAGAATATGAAGAAAGCTCATCAAACTGAAGCTGGTGCAGATTAACCTCTTGTGCAGCTTTTGTATCTTTTATCATATTCATCACACTTGGATCATCCAACACCTCTTTCAAACTATGCCTGTGACAGTTTTTTAAGGTAGGTTTAAAAAAAAACATTGTAATCTGAGAAAACAGTGATAAACAACTGAATTTTATACACAGATATACCATTCCACTTATGTAAGATGATTTAGCAAACCAGAGACATAAATATAGGCCTAACAGTGCGAACAAGAATTATACGTGACTTGTTCTCAATGAAAGTTCATAGAAAGATTGCGAAACAAAGATTTGAGAGTGGAAAAAGAGAGAGAGAGAGAGAGAGGCTACTTGTATCCAGAGGTGGTATGAACAAGGATTATACGTGACTTGTTCTCAATGACAGGCCTCAGCTGCTTCCTTTCAGCCTCCAACAATAAGTGCTTATGGAATTGGTCCTGCACGTGCATGAGAACAGGTAATAATACTACTCGCAACAGAAAATATTACCATTATGTAAATTTATAGCAAAACTTGTAGCAGACACAATAAGAAAATATCTCAGCTAAACTACTTGTTATCAAATAAAAAGTACCTTGGTAAATCCTGGACTTGCAATCACCGCACAGCGAACAACATTGAAATCAATATGTTTAAGGAAGGCCTATAACAGATAAACGGAACTACAGAAGTTGTTGATAATTACTTAAAATTTATGGAATCAAAAAAGGAACAAGAAAAAAGAGAGAGAGAGAGAGAGAGAGAGAGAGAGAGAGAGAACATATAAAGCTGAGTGAACCTGTAAAACATTGTCGAAAAATTTATTCAACGCCTGTAAAGACAAATATACCCATTAGGAATTGATTTGTGTCTTCACATAAAAGTTTATATAAGACTACAAATGCATTACAAACAGCAATTTGAGGTAAGCAGACCTTATCGTAGCCTGCAATGGCAGGTCCATGCTTGCGAGGTATTGAAGTCTCAATACGAGAACGAGTAGTTGTGACACTGTTGATGCATGGTACAAGTTGGATTAATATCGGACAAACATCAAGTCATCAATTCATATATCTAGAAAACATATTCGCATCACAGCTGAATTAAAATATGCAATCACGTCTCTAGGCGTGTATAACACTCCAGTTTAAACTGAGATAATTAAGGTAAAAACTAACAGCAGAACACGTAACGGTGCCAAAAATTAAATATAATAGATAATAATACCAAAAACTATTCACAAAACCAACATGCCCATTCTAATCAGCGACCAAAAAAAATATATATTTAAAAAGTAAAGTTCTACCGCAACCCTGAAATGATGAATCAAGTGAAACTCACGTATGCTAATCAATCTGCTACTGAAATTACGGAAACAACCAATATTTGAATAAACGTCCACCAATACCAAGATAGTTTACTAAACATGAGTAATATGTAAAGATCATAAAAATGAAACTGAAAAAGTCCAATTTACGAAAAAAGAAAAGTTGCAAAGTGTTCTGGTTTAGCAATTGAAGCTAGAGAAGTCTAGTAAAGTATATATCAAAATAAAAATAGATAGGATTACCTTTTACCAACAAGTAGAATATGTGCCAGACCTTCTTGCATCAGAATAACGGCCAGGTCTGCACTAGCTTTTGGATCTAAAGAATGACAACCCACAAGCAATTACTACACAAGAACTCAAATAAAAGGCCATGACAAGCCGATTCTTTGCATTCAATTTTATAAATAAAAGCAGGAAGTTCTCGTGAGAGCTAGCCAAGATATATGCACTATAAGCTTCTAAGTTTTAACTTAATCGCATGACACTGGCCACTGTCCGGGGTACACTGACATTTTAAAATACATTAGCGTACCAGAAAATATAAAATTTAGAGATTCAATATCATTACTGGTTATAATTACTTGTTCTCTCACCCTTCAATGACGTAACATGGTCTGGCACAAGGCAATTATTATTACAGAATGATCGAGCTTTTTTTCACTACAAAATGTTCTTCCCGTTTACTCAAGTTTCTCCATGAGATAAAGGGCCAGTCCCTTTCAATCTAAACTTCCCTCCAGCCACTCCAATATATCTGACGTGGAACTTCTGAAAATTCGGGCTTCTCCACTTCTTTTATGCTTATGTACACAATTCCCCATATGGTTTTGTAGTTTCTATAGCAACTCTTAAAGAGTGTTCCCTAAGATATAAATAATGTAGGAACTAACAATGTAAAGAGCTCCACCATACTTTTTCAGTTGGTCCTGATTGAAGCACAACAGGAAAATTAGCAGCATTTTCTTACCTAATACCCAGTGGCCATTATATTAGTTAAAGGTACTGGCAAACACAACATTTGACACAGGATATTACTGAATCAAGAACAAAATAAGTAATATATTAAATTTAGGCAAGTATATGTTACCAGATACTTGACGAATCATATCCAATGCAAGTGAGTCCCAGAGCTCCTAGATAGATGACAAAATGATAAATAAGCATAGATGTGTTTATACAGACAACTCTCGTTATACAGCATTAAGAAAAAGTTATTAACTATAAACTATAAAGAACATAAAAAGCAAATCACATCCAACTACTCAATCAGGAGTATAGCAATACTGGGACCATGTGTTCAACCTTCCCCCAATCCAACCACCCAAACCCAGAAAACTTGCAATGTGTGTGTAATATACACTTAGGAAATCTAACAAAGCAATCAATAATCTTTCTTATATATTTTGAGAATAAGGTAAAAACAAGCAACTCAAAAGTTTCTCTACTGATAAATGATTCACCGACTAAAACTTCCATTCACGGTAAATTTTCATGAAGTTAAGAAAAATGAAATCAGAACTGTCCACACGATGAACGGAGAAAAAGAAATGCCTTGCCATTACAGACGCTATTATAATCACCCTTTCAATTACTAATTCCTGACCTTAATCATATGAAGGAAAAAGAAAACATAGAAAGAAAGAAAAAAGAAACAGAACATGATTTGTTGATCCACTATAGTAATATAAAAGTGAGCAAGTCATGAATGGAGATGTATGCATAGAAGCTAAACAAATTTCGTGAACGAATACAGAAAGAATGGTGTATAAGAAAAAAAAAAATACCTTTCTTAATACAAAAGGCCGGTGGAGCTCAATCTCTAAAGTGTGAAATGCCCCTATCTGCAGCATCAATGCTATTAGCAGAAGTTACCTTGCCGCATCAAGCATATGAAATATTTATGAATAAAAGCTCAAGCTACCTACCTTGACGTGTTCATTCTCTAATACATTCTTCCCACGTATGCGTAAGGCTGATCCTTCTTTATCATACTCGACAGCCTAATATTTAAGAAGATAATCATTCAGTCTGTCTCTAGTAGGCAAGTTATGCATAACTTCCAGTTCAATTTGGTAAGACTTTAAGTTAGCATGGATATACAGTTGCTTTGTTGAAAATTTTACAAAGAACTTCAAAACAGAATTCCAGAGTGCAATTCAACTTGAAAATGACTTAAATAAAACTTGCTATTCACTGGACCACATTAATCTAAGTTGACCTGGTACAAACTCAAATTGGTTTTACCATCTACCAACACTTCCCTAGGCAACAAAACTATGAATGCATGCCTCAAAAACCAGCTGGTAGAGTTCGTGATGGGACAGTTATAAATGTAATGCTCATGATGTCTGATAATAAGCACTGTTGGCGAATAAGTACACGATTTGAGTAATAAATCAACTTTAGATAAATATAATAGGATGAAATGATTAGAACCATATTATTACGATCCATGACCGACTGAAGAGCAATTTATTTACAAAAGTGAGCCTTGATTCTTTTGTCGTATATTAACTGACTCAAATGTTTTAGGATGTAAAACCCATGAATACAGAGCAAATAAGGTGCCAAAAGTGATTGCTAGATGAACAAGTTAGATATATTGAACAGAAACCATTGTACAGTGAAATCCCGTCTTAGGGACAGGCCCAGCTGATAAATTCGAAGTTCTTCTCTTCTTTCTTGTTGGGTTCTTTATTTTTATTTTCTGGAAGTCTCATAAAGGATGCATAGATTGTCCAAAACAAAATATTTATTACTATCAACTGCAACACTACATCTAATATCAAGGAGCTCGGATCCTTTTTTACTTTCTTCATTAAATTTCAACTCAATCACTTTAGGTTCTGTTTATTTCCATCACTGCTGATAAGCATAACTAAAGCTACACTATCAAACTTACCTCAACTTTAATTTCTAATTTCAATTTCACTCTTTCTGCATCTCGTCCACCTGAAGCAGCTTCTCTCAGAACTTTCCTGGATAATAAATTCATACGAGATACATTTGATAATTCGAAAGAAGATACACCAGCTAACTACAAAAGGCCAAATTCATTAGTTGGTTAGGCCAAATTCAGAAAATTCTCTGTGCGCCATTTGACAAACGCATCACACAATTGGGATAAATCGTTATTGGGCAAAAATTATAGGCCTATCTCCCAACTATTAAGACCCAATTTTTTTGGTTTGGTCATACTGTGATCAGTATAACTAGACAAGGTTAATCAAAGCTCAGTCTTATCTATAACTCGCACAATCTATCCAAAAAAAATTAAAAGAAGAAAACTATATCCGCAATTCCGTAATATAATCAAATAAAGCAAAAGAATGAAGATTAACACAAAGGCCACCTGACTGTGATGGCAACAACAGTGTCACCCTCTGCAATCAAATTGTAACTAACCCATAAATCATCTGCTTCTTCAGGCACCATCTAAAAGACCAAAGAGTAATCAAACCAACAAAGAAGAAGAAAACAAAATATAAGTGTCCAAATTATCCATGCCCGATAAAAAGAAAATCACGTGGAAACTTCAATCACACAAATAGCCGACCAAGTGAAGTAACCCGAACCCTCAGAAGGAAAAGAACACACAAACCAAAAAGAAAAAAGAATAAATACCTTCACACTTCCCGGTCCACGAGGAACCAAGTCTCTTCTAACAATCTTCATCTTCTTTCGTTCTCTCCTTTTGATTTTACGTGATAACTAAACGAGACGAAACGAAAAAAGCTAGTTATCACTGATATTAAATACTGCCTCAAAAAGGCCAAACTTCTGCACTAGCAAAGTCTATATTTGCAATGGACAACGACTTTTCAGGTGATATTTGCATAAATGAAGCTGTAAAAGTTTTAGATTAGGCAATAAATATTGTGAATACACGTCTCATACAGCAATGATCATTAATTGTTCAACTTAACGGGATTCCCAGTCAAGATACAGCAAAATAAATTGCAATGGAAACAATAGAGATGAGAGAAATCACATACTGGTTTTCTGACTACTGCTCTCAAATGTTCGGGCTTCGGATTAGTGACCCGAATTGAGGAATAAGGATGGAACGCAAGCGGCGGTGGCCGCTTTCACAGCTCCCCTTTACCACCAGCACAGGCCTCGTCTATAACCCCCGATTTTCCCCACTAACAAGCAAAAGACTCAAAGGACAAATAAAACTCAGAGACCCGTGCTCGCCGCAGATCACCACTGACCCAACTATCTCCAAACCGAGTCAGCTCAGCAGCCGACCAATTGCCACTCTCCAGTCTCGCAAAGCAAAAGTATCTGTGAACTGTAAAATTGGTTTTGTTTTGTCTCGACAGATAGAGGGTGATGATGACTAGGGTTTGATGGCAGATACAAAACTGAAATAACTGATCAAACCGATTTTGATTAGATGCTAAATTAAAGTAATTTTTAATAAAATTGATTGATTGAGATTTTGATTTTGTAATTAAATTGCGATGATTTTGTTCATGTACTATAAGAATATAAAATAGTTTATTGGAAGTGAATTTAGTTAAAAAAAATAAATTAGTAGATAAATAGTAAATTAAAGTTGATATATATGCAATAATAAATATGTATTATTATTGGAGATAATGAGTTTGAGTTAAATTTGAGTTAAAATGACTCAACCTATCAAAAGCGATTTTTAAAATAATTGAATGTATGCTTAGGAACTAAGATACAACGACCATGAAAAACAATAAAAAAATATTTTGTAACTTCATGCTGTGGAGTGTTGCCTTATAAAATGCCTCTCATTTTTCATATACAGTAAAGCCTCCTTAAATTAATACTCGATAAATTAATAACCTCGTTAAAACTAATAATTTGTCCGGTCCCAAGTTAGGAACAGTAAAAATTTGGGACCCAATCAATAAAATTATAAGATAATAATCTTTTTGATATCTCAGTTTATATATATTGGTCCCGACGAAACTATAAATTATTAATTATTAAAGATAATATATATATATATATATATATATATGATGTAGTTGACGATTCTTAAGACAACTTAGTAAAATAAGTATCTACTGTAACTTGTTTTTTCTTGAACTTCAAACCTATGTTGATCTCATATTTTTGTATTTTCCAAAATGAATTAATTTAAATAAGTCATTCCAACTTCCACGTGAGTTTGTGTTCATGGAATTCTACTAGTACATTTGTATTTTAACTTAATTTTCATCAATAACTATACATGTATACTTAATAAAGTTATTCAAAGAATTTAGAACTTTGAAGGTCAACTGTACATATACGTTAAAACCTCTTTAAATTAATAAATTGTTAATTTATTGATATAATAATATTTCTATTAATTAATAAAATTCTCTGATCCCAACATTATTAATATATAGAGGTTTTATTGGGAGAATTTTTTTTTTTAATAATTGATGGGCTAGCTTGCCCAGTCCTAGCTTTCGGCTAGACATGGCCAAGGGTTGAACCGGCCCGCCGAACCGGCCCGGAAAAGCCGGTTTTCGGCCCGGAACCGGACATATGGCGGGCCGGTTCCGGTTCATGA